AGCGAGTTTCTTGCAACGCGCTTGAATGTGTTACGACACGTGCGTGATGCACTGGCTGATAGATTCGATAGACAAAAGGAGCAAGCTGATGTTAAAGGCAGAGGATGTATTGAACGTTATAAGGTCGGAGACCAAGTTCTACTCAATGCTGAAGACCTACCTACAAATGTAGTCTCTGCTGTCTTCAAGACAAAGTTGCGTCCGCGCTTCATTGGGCCGTTCACGGTCATCGCTAAGAAGGGATTGGCGTACACGCTCAACCTTCCGCGCAAACTGTGCACGCACCCAGTTTTCTACGTTGGCTTGCTTAAGCCTTATCGGGACCCGTCCCATGTGAACTCGGAGGCGCTTGCGCCTGGAAATAAGGCCTTGACGTCGACTATTGCATCCGAACCAGGAGGTCAAGCTGACCATCCACACGGGCTAAGGTCAACTCCAACGCCTGAACACGGGCTTGCATCGCGCCGAGTTCATTCTGGGTCTTACCTAATGTCTCTCGGAGACCACTCAGCTCACGGAGCACCTTCTCATGCTCCTCCTTCGGTACCCCGACCACCACCGACGCTGCTCGATGAGCAAGGGAACCACCAGTTCCATGTGGAGAAAATCCTTCAGCAACGTCGTCATCGTGGCCAATACCAGTATCTGGTGAAGTGGCGAGGGTACCCGGAGTCGGAGAACTCGTGGGAGTATGAGATACCCCTTCGGCAGGACTGCCCTTACGCCGTGGATGTTTTGGAACATCGTGGCCAGGGTCGCCTTGCGAACGAGAACGCTTCTCACCAATAGTGGTGGGGGGCCGTGTGTTGCTCCGCACATTGGGGTCGTGACCTGTGGCTACCATTGTAGCAGGAGCATAACGCGTACGTGTACGCAACTGGCCTCTGGCCTTGAGTTTGGCATAATCGAACCGAAGCTTTCGTTCCAACCGAACGTCGGCCACATCGGCGCTGGCCCGCAGCGCTGGCACACTGCTAAGGTGTCGCTTGCGATACACCCAACGGATGAACTGATTGTCCTCCTCCTCGGGCAGTTCGCCAGCGAACAACAAGATGGGCACGCCCTTAATCGGTCGAATCGAGACACAACGAGACAAGCTCTCAAGATGCGCGCGGTACTGACCTTGTGTGGTAAAGAATGGTTCGAGATATCTCTCATTTAGAGCCTGACGAACGGCTATATCTTCGGGCGACGTAGCCTCGGGGCCCATGGCCCATGTTGAAAGACTACGGCCTTCCTTTTGACGGAGGCGTTGCTCCACGTCAGGTGTTGTGAACACGTAACCACTCCGGTTTTGAATAACCGTCTGGGTATGAGTGCGACGAAGAGCACACTCCTCACGCTGGAGGGTTAAATCCTGTTGCTCGTCGAGCGGGTTTGTGATGATGTTCTCATCTGCATCTTTTGTATGATGCTGCGCCCCTGGCGCTGTGGTAACACCACGTCTAACGAACGGATTCGGTGCTGTTTGAGGTCGAGCCTCAGATACAGCGGAGTGGGACGATATCCCTTCATCTCCAGGGACACTGGTATCACTACCATAGCCCACATCCTCATTAAGACCGAGGTAGGAGGAAAGAGTTCGAGACTCGTTGGGTGGCGATGCCATGATGTTTCGTGTTTTGCCACCGTGAGGTTAAGCGCACACACACCGACCTCTTCGAGGAAAGAAACCGATTGACGTTTTGTGGTAACGTCAGTCTGGTCGGGGAGGGTGTAACGGGGTTACACGTCGACTGGTAGTTGACGATAGGTGTGGTGCACACAAGAGAGGGGGTACCCTATAAAGTAATTTTAGAACACAGTGATTGTATCAATTGTTGAAGACTGATGTCTGTCAACAATTGATTACGAGATCTTTAGAGAGGTTTTACTTTGAACCTTAGTGACTAGGTTAAGTATATTGTTCTATGGTGTTCTTTAGGTTTAAAGAAGAAATAAAATTCAGTTCCCCTTTTGATCAATAAGAGACACGTGCCTTACGAGGCGTCTTTGATCGGGAGGACAAAAGCAACGCCTGTAAAGGTAGCTTGTCCTCGAGCACTCTGTGCTGTGATTCGTTTGAATCGTTTGGTCTCTCTGGAACGGGGACCGTAAGCTCTCTGAGCTTGTTGACTCTCTGAGTCGGGTTCTCTGAACCAAAACCTTAGCTCTCTGAGCTGTTGACTCTCTAAGTCGGGTTCTCTGAACCAAAGTTGCTCGTGAGAGCGTTAAAGTCTTCCTCTATCTTAAGGAGCTGTGTAGCTCCGCTACAGACAGGGTAGACCGGACAGCTGGAACAGATTTTGTATTGTATTGTGAACGCGTTACGCGAGCCGTCGTGCCACCAAAGTGGCTTAACTTCCGCATGCGCCGGGTTATCTCTCCTTCGCAATATTTCTCTATACTCTCGCCAGGGTCCATGAAGCGGCGCTTCATGGACCCTGCCGCGCTGAAGACCTTCCAGGCTGCACGATCCTGTGCACAGTGGCAAAGGAAGTACAGATCCGGGGCCAGTCGACGGCATTGTCCAGCGGTAGGTTTCTTGCTTCGATCCCTTGAAAGTCTGTCTTGTCAACAGGACCCAGGGAGGGTCCCTGTTGCTTGCACCGGAAACAAAGGATGACGCGAGCGTACCTAAGCGGCGATGCCGGGACTTCGAGGCGTCCGGCGTGGCGGCGCACATCGTGGCGGCTTGGCTGGCGGCTGGGAGGAGAGCGGCTAGAGAGAGGCGGCACCCGTCTAAAACTGACAATTGCCGCGAAGCACCCGTCGGAGGCCTGAGCAAGAAGCAGCTAGCTCAAGCCTTTCGGGAGGGCGTTGCCCCCCTACCCGACCGAGAATGGAACAGATAGGCCAAGACAATTCTAGTTGGGACGAAAGTTGATAAGGCGGACGATGACGAAGGAGTAGAGCAACAAAAGGAGGGAGGAAAGGAGCTAGGCGCAAGTGTCGACAAGGTATGATTAAATTGACGCATTAGAGTGTCTCTGTCTTGTGAACTTCAAGTAAAGCTCTGCTTGTCTTTTTCTAGCATCTGTTTGATTCGGACGAGTAAGGACAAGAATATCAGGCCCCTTCGTGCGGCATAGCTGGACGACCGTCGCGTATGTCCTAGCACGTCGGCATTCCGAATGTTCACTCATGCGCTCGTTTCTCATGTAAGCCAAACGTTGTTGCTCGAAGCATATTCTACTTTGGCACTTTTTGTCTACTTGCTCTTATGGCAACTAAATGTGAGCAAGCTTAGAGAAAGGGTTGGTTGCATCCAAAGCCTAGACTCATTTTGTGCACATACATAGCTATGCCAAGTACGAGCAGTGCTTACTCCACTTGCTTACTTGCTTCGTTAAGCATATGACGCGATCTCACCAGCAGGCACAGCATATAGTATCCAGACACAAGTAGGCGCTAGTGCGGCGACGAGGCATTCGTATGTCGCTTCTTTTCAATTGCATTCCGATCGTCCTATTTTCATGTACGTGCTCCTCGCAATTAATGCGCAAGACGTAGAATCCGCCCGCTTCGAAGGTATATCGCTCATTTTGACCGACTCCAGCTGTCGACAGGCGATAGCTAGTAACGAGGCATCTCTTACGTGTGGCTTGCGTTCGAGTGCGGTGTGTAAATTGATTCTAGCTGAGCTTTCTGCAGAGAAGTAGAAGTCGGCTTGAGGTTAAGACCTCACCACGTATCAATTGCTTCTTAGCATTACACATACCTCATTAAACAACATGATCATCATGCGCTCCCGCATCCTTTACTACAACCGCATCCGGTAGTCTAGGACTTCTTCTGCTTTTCATTTCTTCAGCAACTCCCTTGCAAAGCTCCGTCCTTGAGATCTACAGGCGTTTTGCGTCTTGCGGGCCTGAAATGTCCATTAAATCCTTGTTTGCAACATTGGTCGCTTAAGTTTGTCCATCGTCTCATTTGCTTTTCTCGTCAAGCTCCCACTCTTTTTGCGATAGATGGCCTTCACAGCTGACGAGGTATTCTTGTCCGTTTGGTCAGGTACGCGGTACGTTGGCTGACGTCGATTTTACCCCGTACGATGGCATCAAGATATAATCATTTGTAAAAAGTTGTCACCACGTCGGCCAAGCACATCCTTCGCTGCCGTGAATGTGAAACTAAATTGACTCGTGATGAGCGATGCGATGCAGTATTGTTGACTTGCTTGGCTCTTCCGGCGCTTGAGAGCTACCGTGACGACACCCTAGCAACAGTGAGTAGACGAAGAAGCTTTAGTATTTGTCTCAGCTTCTACCGCATATAATAGAACCAGTTGGCGAACCGGTCAGGTCAATGTTGTCGCGGATGAACACGTGAGAGGGTAAGCTAACTATCGCCTTGCGCGATAATGCACCCCAACGAGAAGATGCAAGACAGGGCTTCTGCCATTGCGCGCGGCGACGACATTTACTCTCCGTATTGAACGTATTCCATATCGAGAAGGTAACAAGCATACTTTTGGTCCTTTGCCGTAGCAGCGTACACAACGACACGAGTGTTCCTCCCGTTCTCAATTTCGGCTTCCGGTACTCGGGTACTCGTTGTCCGACAGGAGCCAAGGACTATCGTCTCACGACGACCTGCCAGTTCGCGCCAGCCATTGAGGTACATGCCAATGATTTTTTGTTTGAAAGAGTTCATCTTTACGTGCATGACAGACGTTTGCACTCACTTTCGTCTTTGTCTTCCGTGCATCGAAGATCGTCCACATTCCCACGCCCGTGTCAACGACTTCTCCATCGCGAGCCGCATCCTCGCTGCCATCTGTGCAAAAGCCCACCATTGCCCCTTCTTTCTCTCTATCCATCCTGACCGTTCAGCCTCACCGACAATATATGAGATACCGGAAAACCCACATCGGTCTGCCCCCCCCCCACGTTGTCTGATTTATTTCGTCTCGCGTGTAAGGGGTTAGATATCTCTCTCTCGCTCTCCTCCATCGATGGGGCTGTTGTTTGTCTCGCTCCCACTGAGCCCCTCCATTATCCAACCGCCGTCGTCGCAACATGCGCTGCTTCGACTGCTTCTACAAGTGTTTCAACCACTGCAGCAGCAGTAGCAGTAGCAGCCACGCGCGTCACTCGCCATCGAAAGACAAAGCAGCGAACGATGCAGTCGTAAACGACCAGTCGGTTGCCACTGCGTCCCTCTCGACGCCGCGCGGGGGACCCCACCAACGCAAACCCAAAGTGACGGATTCGTACACCCTTGGCAAAGTCATTGGCTCAGGGTCCTACTCGGTCGTGCGCGAGAGCATGCACATCCACTCGAAGCACAGAGTGGCCATCAAGTGCATCAAGCGCTCGGACTTGTCGAAAGACGACGACGCTGCGATTCAATTCGAAGTCGCGATCTTGCAACAGCTGAAACACCCAAACATCATGACCCTCGAAGAGGTGTTCCTCGAGCCCGAGTACTACTACCTCGTCACGGAGTTCATCAGTGGCGGCGAACTCTTTGACCGCATCGTGCAAAAGACGTTCTACACGGAGAAAGAAGCGCGCGACTTGGTCAAGATCCTCTTGGGCGCTATCAAGTACTGCCACGACCAGAACGTCGTGCACCGCGACTTGAAACCAGAGAATCTGCTGCTCTTGTCGGCCGACGATGACGCGAGTATTAAACTCGCCGACTTTGGGTTCGCCAAGACCGTCTCGAAAGACGACGCGGGCCTGGCGACAACGTGTGGCACGCCCGGGTACGTCGCGCCCGAGATCTTGGAAGGCGCGTCGTACGGCAAGCCCGTGGATATCTGGAGCATCGGCATCATCACATACATTTTGCTAGCAGGGTACCCCCCTTTTCACGACGAGTCGCAGTCGGTGCTCTTCAAGAAGATTCGCAAAGGCAAGTACTACTACGACTCGCCGTATTGGGACAATGTGTCGACGGACGCCAAGGAGTTTATCTCCAAGATGCTCGTCGTGAACCCCAAAGACCGCGCGACGGCCGGAGAGTTGCTGGAGCATCACTGGATCACTGGCACAGATGTCGCGACCGTGCCGCTCACCAGCGCAATGACGGAGCTCCGACGATTCCACGCCCGCAAGAAATTCCGAGCAGCAGTGCATTCCGTCCAAGCGACGATCAGCATGAACAAAACACTCTCGGGCTTGGGCGAATCGGCTCGAAGCAGCGCGTCACTCTAGTCGGCGGCAAACCAGCACATTATGCAATCGTAGTACAGCAAAAGCAAAGACGCTGAAGCGAATCGAGATCGAACCATCGCTGGTGGTGCTCCTTGTTGATTGCAACGCCTCCTTCGGTAAGAAGATGGTCGCGGCTGCTGTGCTTGAATCTATGCTGGGCTTTCTATGGCTATACACCAGTGTCGCATTTGCAACTCTGCTTGACGTGTACCTCAATTCGCTTTGTCCTTATTGCAGCGACCGCTGAAGCAGAGCGCGTCAAGCAAGTTCGCCTTGAACGAGCCGAGTCTATACGGGTTAAAGTTCACGTCGTCCACAGAGTACCTTTCTTCAGTGTTCAAGATGGTGTCTGGTGAAAAGAGACCTCCCCAAGACGCGTCTAACGTCGTGCGGAGCTCACGACGCGGCACGGAAGACTTTGGACGCTGCCGGAACGTCAGCCGCTTGTAGAGGAAGTGAAACATGTGACGACCTGACGTCTCACCGTCGAGATTCGCTTCCTCGCGCAAATCTTCGCGTTTGAACGATTCGTTCGCGGTTTCGTTCAGCGCAATGCGCTTCAACTGCATCAAAATGAACACCCAGAGTATGACGCTGGTCATGAGGCACATAGCAGAGACGAACCCCAGCGCTTGGTTGTTCTGTAACGACATACACAGGTTAGCCGCATACCGCAATAGAGACGTCACAATGATGCACTACAACAGCAACGTACAGCAATCAAAGACTGCATGATCTTGGCAATATCTGCCCTGTCGACATCGTCCATTCTTACGCCGCGTGAGGCGAGCAAGTCACTCGTCTGCGTTCATTTGACCGCAACGAGTGTCACTTATTGTCAACATCACATCGCCAATCTAGACGTACCTGGACAAGAATAACGCTGCTGGTGATGAACAAACCTTCAAGACCGACTGCGAGTTGGACCTGCTCACGTAAATACAAAGACAATGCAAAGAGGACAAATTTAGTGAGTGCTGGAGCCGTTGTCAGCAAGCACGAACGATAGCAATTGACGGACCACCAAGTACAACAAAAAGTATTTGTAGTTCTTCTCCCCAACACATCCATTGAACCAGACTTTGTGCGACGCGGCAACAGACATCATAGCGTAAGGATTCATGGCAACAAAGTAACGCCTACAGCATGTTCTCGCCAACTCGTTCACACTCACTGCAACTGTGCAGCACAAAGCATTGTCAGAACCACTAGTTATTCTCGTAGATACAACACACGCCCGTAGAACGCTTTCAAGCACCTACTGGTGGTCGAACCGGCCGACGCAGTGATTGCACATGCGGCAATGCTTGGACCGCGGCAGTCTGCGACAAACGACGGCGCACGCACAACACGTTAGAATGGCACGACGATTCCGCCAAATGTCGGCAATCGAGTCGTACTCACTTCAACGTCTTGCATGTGCGACAGTACTTCATCTCCGGAAACATCACGGGATGGTTCACATACTGCTTCAGCTCATGGATGTTGTCGCTCCGGATGATCCCGGGATCGCTCAAGCACATGAGCACATACAGTGCCAGTGACGCGACAAACAGCGTCGTCGCCAACCATCTACACCACCACCACCACCAGTAACAGCAATTAGGACAAGAGAGCTCAGCTTGACTCCTTTGCCGATAATACCCCTATAATAACAATGACACACATAATCATACGAATCGCAAGAGCAATAATGGTAATATAATACAATAGCAAACGAGAAGATCCTAATGATGACGATGGCAAGCACGACGTATGTCTCCATCATTGCATTACAAATGAAAGGTCCGTACTTGTGATACCAAGCGACGTATTCATTCGGTAGTACCGGGTGAGCTTCTTGTAAATAAAAGTAGTAACACGCGCCCATGGCTCCAAAGTAGACGACCTGCCTCAGCCAGACGGTCGCACATAGCAGGAGAAAAACGTCAGACCTGACACGACCACAGGCGCGGACGCAGCTTGCGATAGTCGCACCTGGACAATAGGGTTGCGCTCATACAAGACGTAGTCCCGCAGACGGCTTAATGGAGCCGTTGCCATCACTGTTGGGGGGTTTGGGTAACGTCCTAAGGATGAAAAAAAACATTACTTGGGCCAACGAGAAAAAGCTGACTTGCGGCCCGTGGTCTATTCGCCCGGCGAACGGCGAATAAAACCTCATGTTGTACCGGTCTTTGGGCACACACGATCCACGGTGCACCCGCGCGCTCGCTCCCCCTTAGAAAAGGATTTCGACTACGGTAAGCACCGCGTCGTCCAGACGGCTGAATGGGGTTTCGCGATCGACTCTCTCGCTGTCCCTCGACGCGCCATGCAAAGTTGTTCACATACGCTCTCTCTCTCTGTCTCTCTGTCTCTTTTGTTGGATCCCGCAGTGTTTTCACGCTCGTACCTGTCGTGCTCCCTGCGTGACCACCGATGGCAGACTCGGCGTACTCGTTCAGTCTCACGACGTTCAATCCGTCGGGAAAGCTCTTGCAGATCGAATACGCGCTCAACGCTGTGAATTCAGGCGGCAAGACGTCGCTGGGCATCCGATGTAGGCTGTTGCCTGGCTCTTTGCTTGTCGAGACTGCCAAAAGAAGGCCGCAATCGCTCATGTGTGCGCTTTTGTAGGCAAAAACGGCGTCGTGATTGCTACGGAGAAGAAACTGCCGACGATCCTCGTGGACGAAGCCTCGCACAAGAAGATCTCCATCCTCTCGGAGCCTGCCGGCATTGTGTACAGCGGACTTGGTCCGGATTACCGCGTCCTCGTGCGTAAAGCACGCAAGAAGGCGCAGACGTACTTTCAAAAGTACAAGGAGCACGCTCCTGCTGGCATTCTCGTGCGTGAGATTGCCGCGGTGATGCAGGAGTTTACGCAGTCGGGAGGTGTGCGTCCATTTGGCGTGTCGATCCTGTATGCGGGCTACGACGACGATGGGCCGCAGTTATTTCAGATTGATCCGTCGGGTGCGTACTTTGGCTGGAAAGCCACAGCCATCGGCAAAGACTCGGTCAGTGCAAAGACGTTTCTTGAGCGGGTACGTGGATAAAGTGTTGACTGGGAAGGGGGAGACGAGCAGCAGCAAGCGTGGATGTTGATGCTTATTTATGTGTGACTATTTTTCGTGACAGCGTTACAATGACGACATGGAGATTGAAGATGCGATCCACACGGCGCTGCTGACGCTTCGTGAAGGATTTGAGGGAGAGGTAGGACCGAGATGAATGGAGCGATACGGAGTTTCGCTGTGTGGTTTGTTGTATTCCATACTAACGCCGCAACTTGCTGCAGATGGACGAGACGAACATTGAAGTGGGCATCATCAAGGAAGACAAGAAGTTCCATGTGCTGACGCCAGCAGAAGTGAAGGACTACTTGGAGCAAGCCGAATAAGTTTCGTGGTTAACTCGAATTCCAACATCGACACTTGGTGCATTGTGTTGTGGAGGAGGCTGATAAATCAGTGGACTGAGGGCGCACGCTCGTACGTTCTTGCATTTGTAAGTGATTCCAAGGATGGACGTGTCGCGGTGACGCAGTTAGAACAAGAAGTTTTTGCGGCTATATCAACGCAGTATAAGGCGAGCCAGATAATACAAGCGTTGTTTTGCATGACGCTAGCTTGGTACAATGCGTTGTTTTTCCCCAGCTTTGCTACAGATGCATTTAGTTGCCAGACGGAGCTTGATGGAAGGCAAAACCTGCGCTCTGACCGCCTAAGTGACCGACGCAGTCAACGCGCAGGCTGCGCTGGAATGCTGCACCTACGATGTTAAGCGCAGTGTAAAGCTGCAGCATCTGTGCCGACGTCATGTCAAAGATTCCGTACAGCAGGAGCTGGCATACACACCGTGCACATTAATGCACTGCAATGTTAGAGCATGCGCAACCGTAGCAGACAAATATGCGACGCACCCGCTGGTCTGGGAAAAGAAGACAAGATACCGTAAAGACAGCTGAGACCGCACCACTTGCACCAAGCGAGAACACTAGATACACACGCCAATAAGCCTTCGTGTCAGACGAGTCGTCGATACTATGCACAGCGAGATGCAACCTCTTGTTCACGTACCTCCTCCACTTCCTCGCAGCTTCGAGACCAGTGCGCTTAGCGCCGACGATGTCATTGCAGACGTCACGTATAACGCCATGAACTTCTCAGTTGACAATAATTCTGGTCCACGACGAAAGTTGTGGTAAGCGTCTCGCACCAATCCTGCGACCCTCGACTGTGCCACTGCTCGACTATACCGCGCGCCAACGTCGTTGTTACTTGGCGCCAACACGTGCGGCCCAAATTGCCACAACATGAACATATTGATTCCGAAATGAGGGAACGTAATATGACTAAACGCGGACGTCAATAAAGTGTGGAACCGTTTGCCATAGACCACTGCGTCGTAAGAGCTGGCGAAATGTCTCCACATGAACTGATGCAGCTTTGCAGATCGAAACGACACGCGCCACAGTCCAAAGACAGCTGTATTCGCTGCCATTATCATTGCAATGAGCTTCTGATTCTTGTCTGGAGACCACTAAATCGCACATTAGAACGGTAAAAACACATTGGCCAATTGCAACAATCGCCGCGCCCGTAATTTACCATGTTTGGTGTCCAAGAAAATAGATTACCGTCGCGTCACGCTGGCGTCGTCCATTGCCGCTATAGAGCACATCCAATGCATCTTGATACAAACTCGTAGTGACACTATGGAACCATTCGTCCTTCCCGCGTCTATCAGCGATTGAAGTGCAAAGAAGACCACCGGACACAAGTCCCATCGTGGCAGTAAGAACGCCATCTTGACGACTCGCTCGACGACGCAGCAGCATTTTTTGCTGATGACCGCGGGCTAAAGCCATTACTTCATTGCCGTGGACCGACCGCGTGGCCAAGTGCGTTTCACGTAGCAGGGCGTTGCTGCAAGTAGGAACTTGACTGTGCGGTCCACGGAGCCGGCCAGCGACGCGGAGCATTGTGATGATCAACGTGCGGGAATGACTGGATAGAAACGCGAAATATTGTGATAAAGTCTGGATTTTACGCGTGGTTTGACCCGAAAAAGCTGGATCGTCAGGACCTAAATGCAAAATGATAATAAAGATGTGCTGGGCAAATGTGCATCATAGGTTTGATTCGGCGATGGGTGGTGCAGCACACTACTGGAGAACAGCAGGAGGTCTGGCGGAAGGGACGACACTAATGTAGAAATGGGTTTCATGGAATAGGGCCGGCGTTCTTTACAGCTTATAGCCTGCACAATTCGTCACTGTTTCGAAGAGGGTTCATTTGTGCGTACAGCTTTGTAAGATTTTGAACAGGCAGTATGTGTATCTTCATAGCAACGTTGGCCTTGAGATGAAACCGCCATGTGAAAGATATCCCCAGTGGTGGTGCTACCCGCTCGCTAAGCCCAATCGACCACATACCTTATTGAATTGAGAGCGCGTTGGCTCATTTCTGTGTCATGATTTATGACATGTCGCTGAAAGCGTGACAGGTCCATCCGTACCTACGACACATTAGCATTGACGCAAAGAGTGTACCTAGCCTATGTGAAAACAGCGCCACACCCGTTGAGGAGCTACATGTGCAGTGGTCTTGAGCTGTCACGAATGCTTGTCGCTGGAAGTGGAGTGTCGATCATTGATCGTGGGAGCTGAGAGCACTGCTTTCCATGCTCTCATGAAGTTTCTTTCCTTTCTTCGCTCGATGATGACCTCAAGTATAATGTCATTTAGTCCGTCGGGCAAGGAGTTATTGGCTATGCCTGTTCGTCGTATATGGGTTTCATATTCAAGGGCAGAAACTTGCTTTATAGTTCTCCTGGAGGGCCTTCGCCCCGCCAACCATCTATTCGATCGCCTATCCATATCGATCGGGTCCAACAAGCGCCTCAAAGTCAACTCGAATGCTATAGTGGATGTCAGATTACATGACTGCCTCTGCGTTGAGCCTGCGTGCTGGCTCTGACACGCTTTCGGCGTGATCAAGCGTTGTCCATTTATATATATAGACATACACTCGAGCGTTCAAGGTCAAGTGTGTTCGACGCTTTTGGTCGGTCACGAATACGTTTTGAGAGCCTAATTATGCAGATTTCAATTCGGCGATACCCATTTGACGTGTCAAGATTGATCAAGAAAAACCCAGCACAGTATTCGTCGCTCACACCACTTCTTGAAAATCGACCGCTCGATACCCCTTCAGCCATCTACCTTTACAACTTCTACATGCTCTCCAAATTCAGCGCTTTCCAAAGATGATACAGCGGGATCCATATCATCATATATCCATTTGGCTGGAGCTTACAGGGTAAAAGTCACGGCTGAATGCCAAGACGGATGCATGTCGAGCTAGTTACATTCGCATCTGCGACCACCTGTTCGGCATCGCACGTAAGGAAGACTCGTTGAAAATACGGGGTCGAAGATGATCTGAACGTATTGCGAAACTGTTCATACCGCATAAACTTTGATAACCGTGCTGTATCCACGAGCATGCGCTTGCTACCGCATTCTTACAGCTTATAGAACTTGTACATTTTCGAGACAACCACGCTAGTGTCATAAATGATACGTGAGAGTGGTAGGCCCTAGATCGGTATCGGTACTGGTTTTGCATGTGTGATGTCGCGGACTGCACATGAAACGCACGCTTGATAAATGTTGTCCGTATAGCTTGACGGGTGATTTCCCATGCAAATGGGAACCACGAAAACTATGTTTTGGACGCACTGAGGCTGACGATCGGTAAGCTATCGACATCTCTCACAGCGTAAACACCAAATTACCTCTCTCTGGGACCCAACGTTACTTTCAGTCGACCTCTACTAATTAAACTGTGACTTCTATTCCCTTGTCCTTCGTCGCACCTACTCATGCTGTGTGCATTCTAAAACTCGAGCATCTGTCAGAGTGGGCAGTCGCACTCAATAGAATACGTTGGGCTGTATCAAAGCTGTCTCATTTTGGAACAGAATAGTGCGATTTGGAGAGGCACGCGTTCAGCCGTGGTCGATATCAGTTGTCCAAAACAAACGGAAGAAGCTGTTTTTTTCTGGGCTTTTATCAAGAAGCTCATGAAGCCGCTTGACTCACTTGTTTGCACACTACTAGAGGAGTGAGCAAACAAAGGTTGCTACGCAAGCAAGTCACTTTGCATCGTTCGCCGCAGCAGGATGCGCTGTCTCTACCTCGCACAATGTAACATACAATGCAGCGTTGAAGTCTATGCCATCATGATATACGATTTGCCTTCCGTTGTGATGATTTTGGCAACGCCGATGTCAAAACTAACCTGACCAAAATAATGCGTCATTATCACTTTTTCACTCATGAACACACATTTATGGCCAGAAGTGCCAGCTAGCTTTGCAACCGATCGCAAATCAAAGATTGACGTTTGTTGTGGTGACACAATACGTCGCGTACGCATAGCCTTAATGTCTCACAATACATGGAGATCATCACCTGTCGATGCGTTCTTTTGTCCCGACAAACTTCATGACATGGAATATAAGTACGGCAGTTGACAGATTATAGATTGTTACCAACAATAGCGTTATCTAAAAGTCGGGCTCGCTTGTGCAGGCATGCCATGTAACGGGGCACACCCTTGCGTTAAGTTCACGCAAGGGTATCGGTGCCCCGACAGACGTACACAAGGCAAGCGAGGAAGCGTAGGTAAGGTAAAAGCAGAACTGTTATATTAATATAATTAAGTCTTTTAACTACTGTCTCTCTGTTTGACTTAACTTAATTACGCTAATATAACTGAGTGTATGGTGACGTCTCGTCACCACTCATTGCGCGCGTCTTGCGGCGATTGGTGGGTTGATATCATCACGATATCAACCAATGAACAGACTCTTTGGTCGATTCTTCAATATCACCACTTTGGTGATATTGTTCAAAGAATATCCAACTTCATATTCTTTATTGTAACTTTCCTTAAAGTGACAATTTCATGTAACGGGCTGCCCCGTTACATCACCCCCCTTAACTGATAGTCACCGTGTGACTATCGAAAATATGGCGGCCACCCGTTGGCCACCATTGGGACAGGGAGCACTTGTTGGGTCCGTTCCATTTACTTTCCGCTTGACCTCGCATAGCTAATATGTCTATGCTGGGTGACTCAAGACCCGCACAGCCCGGTGCTGTGCCAGCCTCTGCGGCAAACGATTCGTCGTCTGCTGCTCCTTCTCCGCCTGAAGCAACAGGTGCTGCAGGTGCACGCGGTACCACACCGCGTGCGCATGATGATCCCGACGTTGAGGTCATCTACTCTGGCGAGTCAGACACGTCTGACTCGGGCAATGCGCCAGAGGCGTCTCGCTCACCGGCGACGCCTCAGTATTCGCCAAGGCTACTGCCGAACGAACGGACTCGTGATTTGCATCACAGTCTGTTCGGCAGTGATGACGATGATCAGGGCGGTGAGGAATATTATTCCTTACCACCGCCGGCTCGTGAGTCTTCGCACGAGCGTGAGGACGATGGCGTGAGCCGTCGTCAATCTGGGAGCCGTGGTACCGACAGAGGTACCACTGTGAAGCGTGATGAGCTGAAGCCGTGGCGTTTGCCCGAACGGCTCATCAATAGCTTGTCTCACGAAACAAACCAACACCATCAAATACCCTTATTCAATGCGACTGAGCTTCACGGCTTGAGCTCCAGCGCGAAGAACTTTCGCGCTAAGGAAGACTTTTATCTCGATGTCTTTCGTAGACATCGATGGTACAACAGCAACCAGAAGCGTGACGAAGCATCGCTTTTGGCTGCGTGGAACGCGTTCGTCCAAAACGTAAAGAATTTTGGACGAGAAGGGTGGCTCAAGACACTTGAGGCGACACGCCTCAGGTTCGAAAGGCGAACGCCAACCGGTGCAAGGTACCGATTGCATTGTTTATCGAGTGAGGCAGGCATTCCTTGCCTCACATGGGGAGACCCTTGTGCGAGTTGTGTTGACAACTCGCAGCGTGCACATAGGGATGTGTATTCCCTAGATTCGCCCTGGGGAAGGGCACACATCTCGGCTGAGATGCGTGACGCGATTGCAAACTTGCAATCCGTCTACAAGCGCCTAGGGCGCGTGTTTACCGATGGGCCACATGACTCATCGGATGGGTCTCGTCATACTGGCGGACGAGACCTTGAACATCCATCAACAGCTGATAGCGGGGCTCCCAGCTGTTCCAAGAGGGTGGATACCCCCGCCACTGGACGAGGTAGCTCGTCCTTGATCCTGAATCTTCACGGTGATATAAGATACGCTCCACTAGAAAGCGTTGACCACCGTGAGCTCCCACCAAAGGATGTGGTGGAGGAGGAAAGACCTCCTCCAGACGATTCGGCTCACCATCTCGACCCTTACGAGATGGATCGAGCAATCGATGAATTGCGCGATGAATTGAAGCACGAGCGCGACTGGCGCTACGCTTTGACCGATACCGTGCGGAAGAACCGCAAGGGTAACGAGGCTGATCGGGCGAGAGATCGCGCCGATTATGCCACAGCGCAGCTTCAGGTCGAGCGAGATGTCCGCTCCCTTTACGGCGAGCTGGCGACAGCTCGCGGGGAGATATCTCGGTTGAGTTCCGATGTATCATATCTGCGCGACCAGACGGATCGTCTGGAGCGCGAACGCAAGAACTTGATGGATGTTCTTGAACGTGGGGGCTATCTTCATCGGAAGAAGAAGGCTCGTACTGACAGTACGACCTGAGCCTCCCCACGAAAAACTTAGGATGCGTGCGCATCCTACGTGGCAATTCGAGTGTGTATGCATTGCCCTTTCGATGCAACACTCGAAATGGCCCAATGTACTTCGGCAGTAGTTTACTACTGCCGACACTAGTGACTGCATGTCCAGGTAGGTTTACCGTAGACAGTAGTACTAGGTCGTTAACCTTAAACGAAAAAACATTTGCTCTTCCATTCTTGTCTGCGTTCCGTTTCTGACGGTCCAATGC